GATGGAATGATGGGATGGGGTGGAGTAGGAGAGGGATGGAATGATGGGATGGGGTGGAGTAGGAGAGGGATGGAATGATGGGATGGGGTGGAGTAGGAGAGGGATGGAATGATGGGATGGGGTGGAGTAGGAGATGGATGGAATGATGGGGTGGGAGTGAAATCTTTGAAGTGCCATTTATTTTACATCCACGGTGAAGTCATTTACCAGACATTTTTTCTTTACTCGCTGTTTTAAAAATTGTGACAAGCTTGCACTTGGTTAGCATGATTCCCCTTTAGATTTCAGCGCCATTCTTAATTTCTATGGATGACTCTTAATATGAGCTGCTTTTGAGGTTTAGACTCAAATGAAGCAGCAAGCCATGGCAGCTTCACTGTTCTAGTTTTGATTTGTTTGGCACATTGCTTGTAATCCAATTCAATTGTACTGTAGGTTTCATGAATCTGGCACAAAATTTCACTTTGGCCTTGCAGTGCACAGAGATTACCAGAGTGCCAGTACTATATTGTTTATTTCATATCATACATTGCACATGCATATTAGCACATCATGGTTTATTGTGTATACACATGTACCGGTGTGTGGTTTATGTTTACAACAGTTTAATTGTGATGATTTTTGTTCTGTAGCTGCATCTTCCTCCAGAGCTTTCCTGCCAAGCAGATGGTAATAAGAGACATTCACAAGAGAGCTCAGGTGGCAGCACTATATCATCTCTCATTAGCAATGTCTCAATAGGGGATACTGATCAGCTGTCCTCAGATGAGGAAGACTATGACGATGTCCATGTGCCGTCCTCGGATGTCTCTGATGCTGATGTCCCACGGTTGCCTCCACTGACAGAACCTAGAGACAGAGAGGTTGTGGGAGAAGATGCAAGGCCACAACTTTGTAAAGATGTTAGAAACCATGGCGCTTACTCAACTCTGTACGAGGTCCGTTGCAGCAAGCCAGTGCAAGAGGAAGACAGTGATGTTCTCCTTCATGGAGATAGTGAGGATGAGGATGCAAGCAAAAAAGATGAAGAAGATGATGAGAAAGATGATCAGGTACCTATTGAGATTGAGATGCAGCCCATGAGAACAAAATTCTCTCACTCCCCGGAAAAAGAGACCAGGCGCAAGGCTTTTGAGTTTCACATCCCACTGTTTCTTAGAAAGAGCAGCTCAATTGAGTCTACCATGTCAGCACCAAATGGTGAAGAACGAAGCAGCCACTCTCTGACTATCCACAGTGAGGACAGTGACATGAGCAGTGATTATCTTGATGAGGTACCTCCCATTTCAGGCACACTTAATGCAAAGTACAGATGTGACAACAGAAGAGACTCCAGCACCTCACATGAGCTGTCCGAAGATGGACTTTCTAGTGAGTCTGAGCACAGGGTGTCAATGGACTCCCTGAATCTGAGTGTGCAGTCTGAGCTCCAAGCTAGCCTCCGCAGGAGAGGGAGAAAGAACATCGAGTGTGGTCGGCCCTTCTCAGAATATGATCGTCCGGTCTCCAGCGTGTTAACAGAGTATGACAGGCCAGCATCCGACTTGTCAACAGAGTACGACAGGCCAGTTTCGAGTACCTCTGCAGATTACATCGGTGTCTTGGATAGTTTTCACAAGGATGGCAAGAAAAATGAAGACAGTGAAGGTGAGTTAAAAAGTTTTTATTTATGGAATTTTTTTTGAATTGTACTATATTTACCAATAACCCGGGGTAAAAGAGTCTAGAGTTGTCCTGAGAATTGCCTGCGGAGTGGGATGAATCAGAGAGTTTGAGATATGATGAAAACTGGGTCCTATGCAGCAAACTGCATGGCCCTACAGTAGTTAGGCCTGATCAGTATGGTATTACATAACATAGTGTTGTTTAATTCATGTATAAAACGTGACAGATGTAAATATCCTTTCTACTGGTCCCAACAATTCTAAGGTAACACTGGGTGGTCAAAATCCGAGTTCTAAAAAGTTATTGGTAATACCTTTTTCTTCAATAAACCTGTTGTGCTACTACGAGAAGGGCAATGGAAGGTTAGCCTGGTTGTAGCTTGGGATGATGAGAAACCTGCACATAAATAAGTGTGTGTTCAAAATATTCAAGGAAATATGGTTTAAGATAAATATTTTGGAGTTTTAGGTAAATTTCAGTTTGATATGTTTTAATCTTTGCATGTGTTGTCATTTTGGTTATTTTTTTAAATTATACTTTCATTTATCATTGAAAGTTAGGAGGATGGTACATGTAAATTGAGGATATAATAAAAATGTATGTACCAGTAAGCTTTTAAAAACTATAGATAACAGGAAGGTTTCAACAGTGTGTGATGGGAACCCAGCCAAACATTTTACCTTAAAGAAATTTACCTAAAAACTCCAAAAAATTTATATACATGAAAGATAAAAAAAATTGAAGTTCCCATTAAGCTGCATACATCTATACAATACCTGTACATGTACTTGGTACCCACTTTTTTAAATTCAAATTTTCAAGTGCTACAGAGGTTTCATTATCAAATGGATGGAGTTGGCACATCAGTTTTAGCAGTCTTGTGATGTCATACCTACAGTGTATGCAACTTTTTATCCGTCGTGCTTGACAGTTACGATATGGATAGTGGTGCACAATATATAGGCCTACCGGTATGCATACCTGTAACCATTCACATGCAAGACCTCCCTTACAACACATACATGTACAGTACCTGTTTACATGCACATGTATACCGGAAGGCTAAAAGCCTGCATGTAGGTGCCAGTATAGTAATTGCACACATGTACCGGTACATGTAACCTCAGTCTCTGCATACCAGTACATGAGGAGTCTTTCAAATTCTATTGAGATATTTACGTGTATGTACATGTACAGTACACTGTACAATCATTGTCCACTGTGATGGGGCCCATGGTGTTTCGTACACCCAAGGGGATAAATGACACCCAAGTTGAGGACAAGGGTACCATTCACCTAAAGTCTTTAACAGCACTCATATATGTACTTTTATGATTTTTCAGTTTAAGGCAATAGAAAATTCAGAAGTCAAGGGAAACATCTGGTTTTACGGAATGTCCAGTATATAGACCACTTTCATTTTGCCTACAACTTGTGTGGGCAGCCAAAGTTCACAGAAATATCACCTTTTGCTTGGTTTTCGATGGTACCTCAAAATTCGTTCAAAATGGACATTTGTCCCAGTAGGCTGTATTTTTATATCATTATTACACTTGAGCAGAGTGGCACACACGATAGAATAGTGTGTCTGTGTCTCATATACCACAAGGTGGAAAGCCAAGTGGTTTGAGCCCCAAGCTGGACCAAGGGAGGGTGCAATTTTCCTAGCAACGGAGGCTTATTTGGTCGGAATTGCGCTTTGCTGGTTTACAAACAAAACGACTGTGAAATGCAAACGTCACAGTTGCATCAATACCAGCCAAATGAACACTTCCAATTGACCTGACTCTGTTCAACCAACAAGGGGGTGCTTCTGGTTGAGGCAAATACAGGATACAGACGCACTTACATGTACATTATTCCATGTTCAACATGCACGAGCGTGATAACAAATTTATCTTCAAGGAAATTCAATGGACAGTAAAGGGGCCTATGCGTGCAGATGCACAATTTTGAATTTACTTTAAATTTTTCAGATGTGTGTTTTGTATTGAGTGTCAAAATAGTGCAGTCCATTGAATTAAAATACATGTGGTAAGGGTAGGAATTTACATTTGATTTGAAAAACATTTACAAAACCTTTCTCATACATGTAAAGATGTAGCCAACACTTTACAGAGGGCCAGCACTGCTTACATGTACCTTGGTGTTGTCATACGTACATGTATGCATGTAAGTTTAATAATGCACATGGTCCAACCTATGTAAAAATATTCGGGAATTTAAAACAAGCAATGTTTGTTGTTTTAGAATCCACTTTTTTTCTCAAAAAGCACTGTACATGGATGCTGAAAGGGAAAAAAAGTACGTAACAAGAATTGTTTACAATAAAAATGAATGCCAGACTGCATCAATCAAAACATTAAATCTCTAAAAGGGGCGGTTCCATACATTTTGGGAAAACCTGTAAAGGAATTTGAAACTTTTTTTGTTTGAGCATTTAAGTGTGAAAACGTCTCACCCTTGTAAAATAGTGCATTACAAGGGTTTGATATGAACCGTGACATACAGTTATATACAGTTTGTTGCCATGGATCAATCAATCAGAATTGAGAATTCAAATTCGCTTAAACATGTTAAAGGTAATATCTGGTACTCTCATAGCTGTGTGGGATTTTGAACATTTCGTGAATTATTCTTTTACTTTTGCATTGACAGCCATTTGTAGTTTTAGTAGTCACTTGCGGGAAAGACATGACTGTGATGCCAAAAGAGCACACCTTCAGTACTGTATAACAGTGTTCACAGTGGAATTTATTGATGTGGGAGATTCAAATACCAGGATCTTATAGATAGATTGTGCATGTTATTGCACAATTTAAGTACCGGTTCCATACATGTACATATACTGGAAGGTACAAAAATGGCGCAGCTGTAGTGTTACCATGGCATGGCAGTGGATAAAGTTTGACAAGACCTATACCCATAAATACAGTGGTACATGTACGGTTCATGTATGTTCACTCCTATGCCTCTGTGCACCACTTATCTTGAGAGTTGGCTCATGTGCACTCGATCATTTTACTGTGGATTTTGAGGCAGGTGAAGTGGGATACCGTTCCAAGACTTCTTGCCGCAGATGGAGACCATACATGTAATTTATTTTTAACAAAATACAAAGAAAGTTCACAGTGATAACCTGAAAACTAAAAATTGATCAAATGTGTCAGACAACATTATATCACCATCTTATATGAACCAAGTTTCACACAATTTAAAAAAGTTCTGAAAAATTGATTTGAAAAAATTAACATGATCAGATGTGAAGGAAAATGCGTCTATGGTCTTTTCCATTTTAAAACCACTTCTCCAGTGTATCCAAACAAAATTAAGTGCCGTGTGTATTAAGACCCGATAAATACATCGGTAGTATTTTCAAGTTATTGCGAAGTGAATATTTTCCATGAGAATCATTTGTCCTTAGTAGTGCATGTATACATGTACGTGTGTTGATGGTGTACATGTACATACCGTACGTGTGTACGTGAACATGTGCACACACAAATCATGGCCAACCATCAATCGACAGAGAATCAAAAGTTGAAATTGATAAAACTAACAAAGGACAATTTGTAATGGCTTAAACATAACTTGAAATTTTTTTTCAAACACTCTTTTAATTACCAAGATACCGGTATATGCACAGTGTGTGGAAAAACTGGAGAACAAGTCAAAATTTCTAATTTAAAATACCCTTTTTTATGTTCAGAAATGTAACATACAGACATGTTTCACCCCATTTTCTCCGAAATGTCATTTATGATTGACAAGAAATACATAACAAAATGAAATCTAAAGCCTGATTGTATTTCAGAGAAATGTAATCAATTCAACAAACTTTTACACATTGCAGAAGATCTCCACAGATGGATTTTGGTATAGCCTACTGGCTGGTGTCGCCATTTTAACAAGCAACAGAAAGTGACTACGACTTTGTCAAAGTTTAGTGTGGTAGGGGTGAACATGTGTGAGTTGGAGCAACAAGTTTACATACACCTGCTCTGCTGGTAGAACAAAAACAGTTTTCCTTGAATTTTGTAACTTCACTCATTCCTACCAACTTAATGTACATGATGTTTGCATCAAATAAAAATATGTAGAGACATACATGTATGCATGATTCGTATAATTATAAACAAATCAACATTTTACTTACTCTGACCCTAATATTTTGTGCCACTTTCTATATGTTTTGTCACTTCAAATAGTCACAGTGGACCACTTTCTGAAGTGTTTTTGAACGACATCAAGGGGCTAGATGTAAATTTCACAAAATGATTTTTCAGAAATATTAATTTTTGGAACCCTAGTAAATGTCTCTGAGTATTTTCAATTGAAGTGCACACTGAACATTAAGTTGGGATACAGTTTGTCTGACCTCATTACGAAAAAGTTGCCAAAACTATTTCAAACAGCCAAAAATAGAGGAAAACTGTTTTTCTGTTTGTCTAGTTTTTGCCCATGTATGTGATAATCACTTTATAGTGGTCAGAGTGTATTGCTAACCTTAGAAAGTTAGAGCTGATTCAGCCCTTGCCAGGTAATGACTCACCACACTTGGTGCTTAACAATACATCAGAGCTGTCATTAATCAGTTGTAGAATGCCTTATGTCATTTCCTACAGGTACAAGTACCGGTAGCTCCTTTTTTGAAGGCTGGTCCTAACTCCAATTCATCTTGGTTATCACATATGTCTCTGTACATGTATGTACCATAACTAATCATAAATTAATGACAGATCATGTTATTTATGTACACTCGTAAACTGCAAAACATCCTTGTTTCAATAAAGAGGTGAAGGTGCATACACAGTATGCTAACTTTAAGCATGCAAACACCCATTTTGTTTTCCTGTAAAGTAAATGAATCAGTTAAGTGGCTTACTTACAGTAGATCTAAAAAAAAATAAAACAAAGTGTCATTTGTGACTTACTAGTACTGGTACTTTTGTAAACATGCAGTTTATGGTTATCTGAGCCTTGGTACTCTAACCTGCTCAAAACTTGCAGGTTTAAATTGTTCAAAATTATGTAATTTGCCTGAAAAGTTTGAAGTTAGTCAAAATAATGACATACTGGTACATGTACATGTAATGCAAAAGAATATGCACCAGTTTGTAAATTTATTTTATATGTACACTTAAAAACATTTACAGGTAGAACTGATTTTAAAAACTGTTGGCCATGGGGATGTACATGTACTGTTACATGTACACACACTCACAATTTGGGGTTTTACTGTTACTCAATTTTTATACAATTGGTACTTGCTGTGAAGGGGTCCATTGAGATGGAGTTTTATACACTTGAGGATGCCATTAGCTCCTGCGGGTGTGCAAAACCCATGGATCCCAGCCATTTGCAACCGGCACAAAACTCAACTTTCTGATCTTGTTTTTCAAACTAGAGAAAACCTTTTCTTAAAAACCAGCCTGCTTTGATCTGCAGACATTACTACAGTGAAAGTACAGTGAAAATGGCCCAGCTAAAACATAAACGATGTAAGAAAAATGTCAGTCGTAACTGTAATCATGGAGCTATCAAACACAAGGAGTTAGAACGAAGTCCCTATAGACCGTAATCTTATTAACTGCTCCTGTCGGCTCCATAGACAAAGCGCAGTTACCAGCTCCAGTGTTGAAGACCCTAGACACTCTTTGTTCACAGTGATCGCCACCGCCAAGTAGCTGGTAACCCAGGAACTCGCCATGTTTTGCTGCGGCATACTGGAGTAAATACTGGAGTAGTCCTCAGGAGTCAGGGAGCAATCTTTGCAGATGCGCTCAAAAATTACAAATTAACGGAGGTTATTAGGCGAAAGTTAGACGTTTTTAAAGTCAGTTATGACATTTTGCATTTCTGGCGGTAGAGAACAAATACCCAAAATATAAACTGTGATATTTATATCATAAGTCCCCAGCCTAGTGGTTCCTAAGGTTATAAGAAGGTGGAAACAAGCCACAGAAATGCATTTGAGAACATGGTGAGGTTTCATACCGAGACAGTTGTGGCCAATGACAGAAAGGACAACAAATCCTCCCGTGTTTTTGTGTGTTTTTTCTTTTCCTCTGGGCCAGCTACATTCTCTCAGTTTTCTTGTGCTTATTTTTTGGAGAAGTTGTATTAGTTAGTAATTCTGTTTATTGTTAAGAGAGACGTTTTGGGGATGTTAAGACGTAACCAGACTTTCATTATCATTGGAATATCAGAAAAATCACTAAAATTATTAAAATTTAAGTCTTCGATGATGATAGTTTCCGTCTCAAGGCAGCCATGTTGAACATGCGGAAGTGTTACGGACACACATACGTGGTACCCACGATCCTTTGCAAATACAACTCCGAGCATTCCTTGTAGCCCACAAGCGGCACAGAATTTGTTTTGTCCTTACAGCACGTGCAGTGCTGGCAGTGGCCATCATTGACCCTTTTGATCTCTGTCTGTGCTGACTCGTTGTGTTTAATAGCTTCATGCTGTAATACACGTACAGGTAGTACCATGTACTCAAAGTTATGCCATGTATGCTAATACAATGCAGTAGAAATGACACTTTCAACTGTGGTGAACATTGTTCATTATTTCATAGCCCAGTACATGTGTGTTTGTGGCATATTATGTTATCGATTCTCAACCAATAAAAATTGCAGTCAATTACCTCTGTTTAAAAAAATGTGCAAACCTCGTTGAGCCACTCCTGCCTGCGTCATCCTTCCATTGCCACATCCCTTCTCGTGGGATACGATTAAGCAGTTGGCAGACCAAACCACAAAAGCACAAAATCACAAGAAGGTTTTTGTTCATTTGTTAAACAAACTGCCCACAATGCAATGAAACAGTTCTGTCTTGGGCAGACGTGGCAGATACACTGTACATGCACTTATACTGTACTTGTAATGTACGTGTACCTGTAGTATATAATGTACATTGTACATGTAAATGTAGTCACCAAAAGTTAAGCCCGACATCTTAAACGAAGTGGTCTGGTAGACGCGAGTAGGTTTTCTTCCTCTGGTACATCCAGCCCAACTTAAGATCCATGTACACTGGTCAAATGGATAGATAAGTTGTGCATGCATTATTCTAGTCAGAAAGGACCTCCACCAGACCTGTCAACTCTTGTCTACAAATTAGTAATGGTTGGTGAATTACAATGACATCACATCCCTTACTGTGTCATCAGGGATGAGAAATTAACAGAGCCGCTACATTCATGATATTACCAATACTCTGTGAACCAGGATTTAACTAATTTCAAAGTTTTTATTTAACACCATTGTCTCTGGGACTTCGCTGAGGGCTTTTCATCAGCATGAGAGCAACCAGTAAGTTTCAAATCAATGGACTTGATCATATATCAGTATCAGTTTGTCTTTGGCTAATGGAATGCACTGAACCTACATGTACGTGTACCATGTGTTTAAAAAGCCCAACCAGCAGTAATGTTGCATATGTACATGTGCTCCGACATTTCAATTGAATACTGGTCATACAAGAACAGCACGGGCAACACAAACATTTTCAGAAACATAATTTGAATGCATGACCAACTGACCATATTGTTTACAATATATGGGTAGTGTTCACACTGTTGGCTACATTTTCTTTCCTCTAAGAATAACCTTACTGTCTTGAGCAGCTGCATTTGCATCAAACATGTATGTACATGTACATGTATTCTACATTTGTGTATATACATGTACATTGGTAACATACTGGTACTTGTACGAGTTCTGCATCACCACATTTGGTCCATTTTGAAAAATGGAAAATTTCAGCACAATAATTTATCAGACATACATGTATATCACAAAAGTTGGTACTTGTGAAAACAATCTGTAAGATTTGAAATGTTGAAGCATTTTTTAAAACCAATTTGTTCTCCAATGCTCCATATGTACATTGCGCTTCCTGTTATAAACATAATAATGAGGCAGACTATGAAAATTGCAGAATTCCTGTAAATTTTAAATGTTTTAAATTTTCACCTGGAGTTAGGAGAAGTCTGCATGGAAATCTTTGTGAATGTCGGTTAAGAGAGGAAAAAGTCCAAATGTTGATATTTTCTCCTTCAAAAATTTACTCAAAAGAGGAAAAAAGAAAAAGGTCAGAAGCCAATATGAAAATCAACCTTTTATGTAAAATCCCCTTTAGAATTGTCAGAGAACTCAAAGTGTGGCTTTATAGCTGGCATACATGCACATGTATGCATGTATACATTTACATACTGTACATACATGTATGTGCATACATGGATATTTTACATAAACATTATTTAATATACAGTGTATATAAAATGTGTCCCCTTGCATTAAAGAATGTTTAGACCCCTTCTCCACAGTTTTAAATGTTCCATAGTTTGCAGGTTTTAGGAAACTCGGATGATGTCATCCTCCCTGCTACACCCTTGATAGTAGACGTACACGTAAATGTACTAGCACCTGTATATGTCATCGTCATTATCATCATCAGACAGGCATACATGTAGTTTTTCAGTGGTCTCCTCCTCCAATTATACACAGCAATTGTAGCATGTGCTGCTCCCTCCACAGCCTGTCTTTCCTGCTTTCCTGTCAGTCAGGGAAGTCAGGTTGGTGTAGTGGTTCTTTCCTCGCCTTCCACCTCTTTGGTCCAGGTTTGAATCCCGGCCCGGTCAACATGTGGATTGGGTTTTCACACTGTACCTAATTTTGTGGGTTTTATCCAGAATATTCTTCTGGGGTTTTCCTCCCTCTTCTAAAACTGTATCTGCTTCTCCTTGTCTCCTCTCTACGGGCTTCTTCAGACTTCAGACAACTTTTTAGACTAGAGGGAGGGAGGCTTTGTTGGAGAGGAAGTCATGTGTTGCATGGGATCACTCAAATGGGTGCAGCCAGACAGTATAAAGTCACTGTGAAGGAAATACAGTAATATTCAGTGATTCACAGCTGCCACTGTGTCACTGACTACATGACATATAAATACACAGAGCACATACCAGTCAATCACTACAGTACACTTCAAACCCCGTGCAGAATTCCAAATCCTGTTTTTGTTACCTACATATACTCTACATACATGTACCTTTGTAAACATTGACCGAAAATTGAAATTTTAATACGAAGTACCGGTACCAATCTCATAGTTCAACTACCATGCTACAGCCTTCCTAAACAAAAAAAACAAAAATCCATTTAAGTGAGAGGTACATGTATTGTACATGTACACTGTACATGTACCTCATGTCTTGACTTAAGAAAATCAGAACACTCTAAGGCATGCACTTAGACTAACAGAATTGAATTCCAATTGCCAAAACATATAGCTTTGCACATAGTCATACACAATAGTGTTTTAAGTAGAATTGACTTCTTCAGTGCAATGCTGTCAATGCGCATGTATTCATTACTTCATACAGGTCTTTGAAGCAGTGAAGGATCTGAACAAGTGTAAGAGAAAAGCACTTTTAAAAGTGATAAAAGGATAGTATATTGTGTACATATGTACCAGTACTAGGACAGAACACAGTCATTCTGTTGAACATGTTCATGTACGTGCAAACTTTTAGCACATACATCTACATGTATGCACCGGTACAATATACATGTATATGCCTAATGTACAAAAGAGAGCTGTACATGTACCTGTTTGCTCTAGTGATCAAGCTTTGTTGCCAAAGAAGAACTTATTGAAACAAATACAACAGAAATGGTGTGGAAATGGAGATGAAACTCTGCACAGTGTTTACTTTTCGATGCATTTGCAACAGTAGCACAGCTATTGAAAACATACATCTTCAGATACACACGTAGTCTTCAATTTCATGTCTTTATCGTGATTTGCAGGTTATGGTGTTACTTTTCTCACTGCTGGGTGAAAAGTTATGCATCTCCCAATTGTGTGGGTTGATTTCCCACACCCTGAAGCCAATCGCATCAGTTAATAGATGGGGATTGTCTTTACAATAACAAGTGAGGTATCAAATAACAAGGATGGGGCGCGGCCATTGAACAGTTGCTAGAAAGTAAGGATAATACATTCTCATCGGTTTGTTCTACAGTTGGAGAGTATAAAGATATTCATGCTCATATACATGTATGTAGCAGCTTATAAATGCACGTAAGTTCAGTTAACTCATTGCTGCCTTTTGTGAGCTTATGTACATGCACATACAATAGTTCATATAACTTAAGCTGCCATCTTCAAAAAGTACTTTTCAATTGATTTTGCATGTACATGTAAGTGATAGGATTTCTGTAAACGTACATACTGTACATTTACATACAGTAAGTACACTGTACTTTGATGTTTAAAGTATTATCTTAAAACAGTAACAGCAAAATTTGTTGTGTTGGTTTGATCAAAGTACCGAGAATATGGGACTCATTCGAAGCCAATATCGGCTCATCTGTGGTAAGTACTGGTACTGAGACTACATGTGTACATGTACGTATGCTCTGTAACCTGCTGTGTACGTGTACACTGTACTATATGCAAATCTACACTGGAGAGATTCATGGGCAATTTTTTTCTGATAAATACAGTGTACAATTTCTGTCATGATTCCTTTTAGACTGCTGCATATGTGCTAGGCAAAGTTGTACTGTACATGTAATCAAATCATCACAGTCACAAGCAAAGATCGTATAGCGCCGAAGGCGCAAGATGGATAACTCTGCCCAAAAGGTGTAATTACCATGGGTACCATTTGAGCAAGCGATACGCCTGCGCGGTTTACAGTTATACTTGGGCGCAGGCTCACAAGGTGCATGTGGTTGCCACGGCGCCTGCGCCTATGCAGTAATGTGCATTGTGCAGGCGTATCACTTGCTCAAATGGCGCCTATGCGATTACAACATTTTATGTATATTTACGGTGAAGTTCGCCATCTTGTGCCACTTCGCGGCGCTGTATGATCTTTGATCACAAGTCAGTCCTACTTGTATATGTAAGTCACCCTGTTGAAAGTCAAGGGGCAAGCTTTATACCCTACTTGCATTCAAATGAATTGTCATCAAGGCATTCCTTTCCACTGTTACACACTAACACTGTTACTGTACCTTAGAATATGACATGTATTTTGATTTGCAGAAGGACTTTGGAGTGACTGGCTTATAACTAGAGCCTTATTTGATCCTCGTTGCAACGGTTGTAATTGTCTACTTGAAAAACAACTTGCAACTAAGCTGCAATTATTGTTGATGTTTGTGTTTGTCAGGTTTCTCCTTCACTTGGACTTTGGACCACAGTCAAGAAGGGACACAGCAAGATGACAGTTATCGTCCCAAAAGGTATCATTCAGTCAAGCACATGGTGATTTGCTCATTTGTAGCTGGTTTAAACAAATCAAATAACTGACCAACTTGGATACTGTGACTGTAGCATTATGGTCATGCAAAAAAAAACCTGTGAATGTGCTTCCCTTGTACTGTACATGTACACTGTAGCTGCTTAAAGATAAAGCCTTAGATACATGTACATTATATTCCTCAAAACAAAAGTCACAGGGTGTAAAATTTATGAATCTTGACAATTTTCTGAAAAACATGCATACAATTTATAAAATGTGTATACAGGTAGCGGTACATGCACCTCCAAAAGAGTGATTTAATTTCCAGTGCAGTAGGTTAACCCTAACACTACCAAATCCTCCAATTTTAATACGATTTTACATACACCCTAGGGGGTTAGGGTTAATGTCATTTCGTTTTCTGTAACCTATGTAGGGGATTACTTAGTGCAAATTGCATTATGGATTGAGGGTAGTCAATTCTCTAAGCTGTACCATGCTGTAATATGCTCTACCTTATTCGTGTCATCATAGAGCTCTATGGTATCACTAAGCTCAAAATTTTGAGTTTTCTAGTCCTTTGATAATCTTGTCAGATCTGGCGTTCTGTCGCAATTCATTTCGGGTGTAGCCAGAGCCAGTGGAAGGCTGCAGGTCCTCAGTGAGGTGCAGCATCTCTCGGAATGCATGATGGAATTGTGGGTGCTTAAAGCCATAGAGGAGTGGATGAACAAAGGAGTGCATTAAGAAGACCATGCCAGAGAAGACAGCTATTCTCTTGTTGTCTGGGATGATCAGTGCAATCCCATAGGGTAGGTTGAGAAGGAGGAAGACGCAAACATTAACAAAGAGATTGACGGTGGTGCTGTGCTGATGCTGCTTGAGACGTGCCTTTCGGGACTCATGTCCAACACCCCAGTCAAAATCAGAGGGTTGCATTGGGGTGGCTGTGCACTGCTCCGTCTGATGTCTGAAGTTTCGTCGTATGGTTTGGAAGATGAGTGAGTAAGATGTGATGACAGTAGTCATTGGAACAAGGTAGAAGACCATAGCGATTGCAAGGCGGTGATCTTGTTGCCGAGGATGTTGAGACACATCAGTGCAGATGTGGGTGTTTTTGTCATAGCCAAGCTTACCAACATTGCAAAGAGGCGGGACCAGTACAATGAGGAATGGGAGAAGCCAGGCCACTGATATCATGCCAGCGATCTTGGTTGGCATATGCCACCATTGGTATGTACTGGGCGAGGCCACAATGATGAGCACACGGTTGAGGGCAATTCCAGCAAGGCTGTATAAACTGGCCCCAATGCTGGTGAGCAGGACGAGCCCAGCGAGTTGGCAGGGCACCTCGCTGGCCAATGGCCAGCCCTCCAAGCTCAGAAGGCCCACCACACTCCACGGCAATGACAGACCGGTCATCAGGTTGGCCACGCTCAGGCAGACCACAAAGGCATTGGTGGTGGTCTGGAGGCTTTTGGAACGGATCACAGCCACAATGACCATCACATTCCCAATGATGGCCAGAATGGACGTTATCAAAAACACAACTCCAATGCCCACCCGCTCACTATTGCTGAAGGTCAGCTCAGCTGGGTTGATGGAGGTGGCATTCACAGTGCTTGTCATGTTGGTCACATTCTTCATTTTGTCAAATTTAGTTGGTGTGGTGTATTAGGCAAGTATGTCCTTGCTACATGTAGTTTGCCCAGACTCTCCGGTATCTGTGTCACCATCAAAGCATCCCTTATTTACAAGCACACCAAGTCTGCTGCACCAATGGTGCTCTTTAAAAGCATAGAATTAAAATTTTTCAAGAGGCAGATCTTTTAACAATGAAAACTCGGTCACTCCTAGAAACCACAAGGAGTCAGTCACACTTTCTGTACCTTAAGTGTCAGTGTCAAATCCAGAAGTGATTTGAAATAATAGTGTTGTACATGCACATACACTTTACATGTACAGCATATTTGAAAAGCCATGATGACGTGTATAGAATGGTTGTATCTACTCTTGCTCTCATCAAAGTCAAAAGCAATTTGAACATGCACGAGAATTTGCATACAATGTTATTTTTTAAGACTTTTCACTTGCACTTTCTCTGGAAAAGTGACACACATTTACACAGTAATTGAAACTTGGTTAAGTGAGTAGGAAAACAGAGAGAGGAGTATTTGACATGCAGTATTTCTTTTTCAAGGTTTTGGTGTCAAGGAAACAAAAGGAGGTAGAGGTACATGTAACCTGTGGTCAGCTTGTGTCAGATTGCTTTATCTTTGAAAAATAACTTGCCTTTCCCAAGCATATGTTGAAATTTGTCTCCCTGAAAATGTGAGCTTTTGAAGACCTTTTAGGAGGTACTTAACAGTCTTCAAATATGTCAACATCTAGGGTTTTGGAGATAGATTGGCCACCCAAAACCCAGTATACAATGCATTCATTGGCCAAATATCAAGACAAGAAAAATAAGAGGCATTTTCTTTACACAACCAAACCAATTGGGCCGATTTCAGAAACAGGCGAGGTCAAATTTTTGTTTGTGTTGGGTTGATGATGTAACGGGGGTGTGCACACTAAGCGTGCATGAAGATGCACGTAAGCTGGCATCATTGCACCTTAAATGCCGTGGAACAAGGAGTTTTGCTGATGAATAGAAAATACACAATAATACTAGACATTTATAAATACATGTACATGTACATCTACATGTACCTCAACACAGTCTCCCTATTCAACAGTGTACAACATGACTGTGTATTGACATTTGATAATGGCCGCTGCTTAAATCATGCGCTGGCACCTGGATATGAGACAGTTGAATCGGTTATGATTGGTCAAGTGTCCGTGTGCACACGGCTCGCCACGCTCATGCCTAGTCTATATAAGGAGATTCTTTTGGACAGTTTGCACGAGGAATATACTGTAAAATGGGCGGGGATGTTCAGGAAAATGAAAGTAAAATTCTAGAACAAAATTGTTGGAAATCTATCATATATTGACTCTTTTGACTGGTATTTATGAATGAGAATAAAGTATCTTACATACTATGTGCTTGGCCGGTCTTAAACTAACATTCAAGAGACTGGGAATGCTACTAATGCCCAAGCCGTAGTCGTGTCCATTCTCCTGAGTCAGTCTTCAATGCACATTTAAGACTGGCCAAGCAAATATTTATTCTCTTATTAATCCTTGAGTTGCATAAACCCAAAATCTTACTCGTAGCTGGTCAAAATAATTGGGAAATTTATTCTGAAATAAGGGAGCATGAGTCCTTGAAGTTGGAGTGGAACGTAATGTATTTGCCTGACATACACTTGCGTGTGCAGGTTCACTTGTGTTCACATGCAGTGGCAACAGACTTTACACTGCGGAGAATAACAAGGTCAGTGTACATGTAGGAGTATCCGGACCTGTTTTGGACAGTCAGTCACGTATGATGTGTGTGTTACTCACAGTCTTGAACATTGCACAAATTATTGTACTCCCTCCTGAGTTGAGTATCCTGTGAATGAATATTATTCAAAGGCAAATCAAATCAGGATGGAGTCTAATCAATTGTGTAAGGTTCAAGATTGTGCTTAACATGTGCATTTACATGTGCAGCCTCTAGAAAATGACAGGAACCCATGAACATGCCTGCCATGTCTTCAGTTCTCAGTATGTCACGGAAAAAGGGATAAACACATTTTGGATTCTTAAATAGTGAAAGTGATTAGATTCGATTCCTATCACAGTTGCTATGATTTACTCATCAATGAATGAGGATAAGGGCATGGAACCTGTCTATGTTGGGGGTTTTGTCCCAAACCTGTTGGTGGTCCCAGTAAGCACAGCACCGCGACTGTGATGGTAGGTGCACCACAACACAAGCAGTTGACGACACTTATCCCAAAACTCCTTGGCATATTGCCTATCTGCGACAAACGGAGGGGTTAAAAATCTACCCTTATTGTGTTGAGCGTTGTCCGGGAATGATCGCTTCAATGCATTATTGCACAGAAACCTGCAGAACACCAATTCTCAGTTTACGAGATTCCAGTTCAAAACTATATAAAGTACACAAGACTAGAGTATTTTTTTTTAGTCAAAAACACAACAAATCATGCACTTAAACATGATGCATGGAGCAATCAATGTAGTGGACAAGAACCATTCAAGAACATTGCATTTTGAGCATGCCTCAACTGCAAGACTCGCATATAAACATTCACCCTACCCCTTCCCCTGACGTTTTGGCGTCACCGGCATATCATTATACATAATGAACATTTCTGAAATGGGCAAAAAAGGGTCTTGTGGGAGCCCATATTTTCAACATTTTTTTGACCATAATTGAGAAAACTTTTTCATTTTTTCATGTTAATTTTAGAAAATGGTCTTGTCACCTGTGTATGAAGGTTGTAATTGGGGGAAGAAGGGTTTGTTTTTATAGCCTGTTTAATTTGGAAGTTTTAAAGAAATACATGTAATTTCATGCTGTTTATACATAGCCTCTAAAACTGCAATGCTGAACATGTTTGTAAGCTTATAGTCTGAGTCAAACAACTTGGGAGAACAACAAAGCATGAATTTTTGCCAATTAAAATTGAGCCCAAACACATCCACAGAATTATTCTATTTTAACCAGCTGACAAAGATTTCAGTGCTTTGCTTAAGGCAGCTTTTAGTGGATAAATAGCGGATACCCATGAGTTTTGTGTGGAAACATATGTTCATGTATGTATTCACATGTGTCTCACAATTTGGTGTGAGGTACCGGTACATGTACAGCTACAGAGAAATGAAATCAGAATGTGTGAATTTTGCATGAAATACTCTTATTGAAAAAGTTTCAGGGAAGCGTTTTTCTGTGGAGTAAGAGTTACCAAAGGACTTACTTCAATTGTAATCACTTTTAACTGGAGATTGAGTCCAAATCATGAGTTGAGTGACTGTATGGCATGTTGACCAACACATGTACTGTACATTGACCCGTTGTTCATCCAAACAGAAATTGAAACCCTGGCCTCTCACTCCGCCCTACATGATTTGATTGACATCAAGAAGTAAAGTTTCACAAAGAACAGAGAGCAAGTGTTAATGATTTACATTAGGTGTTGCAGAATATAACTTGCATGCAATAGGTTTGTTCAAAGTGAAAGAAATTATATACATGTTGTACTGTCAGAGATTTGTTTCGAGTAACAATAATTAGCGTGTTCTAAGATGTGAAAGTACAAATTTGGAACCCAAGGTCAAAGTTTAAGGTTTGAGACAGCGTTGAAAGTTAAATTTACCCATTTAGAATGAGGCAGAATGTCATGAAAGCTGTGTAGATATTTCAGAGTTTCAAGCATGTGATAGAAGTCTTCAAGAAGTCTTGGTACAAATCATGTTTTTAGGATAGCATGAATGACAAAATTTAGAAATTCTTGTGGATATTTTGAGGAGGTGTTTCTCTGATCACAAGCATTTTTGTTACCAAATTGAGCCGTTGTAGTTGAATAACAAATTGGAAAAAAAAGACTGGAGGTACATGTAATTGGTATTTGAAGCGGAGAATTTCAATCATAGTTCCATATGGCACAGCTTGTAGAGCACTTGAAAATTCAGGTGTGGGGTTCAAGCTCTTGTATAGTCAGTCTTATTCCCATCTCATCTAATAGCTAAACTAATTACAGATAGAATCATTATGCTATTTGACTGTCTTTTTAGCTGTGATAGGAGCACCTTTCTACTTTCTTGTTATTGTCCCCAGTGAAGAGCTGCCTCAGACAACACCAGCTAAGTACGCCTTGCCCCGGAAAGCCAGTCACTCCACCCAGCCTGTACCTGTCCTACCAGTGCCCCCAAAGGCCCTAAAGCCACCCAAGGTGCCCCGCCCCTACAGTGAACCCAGCCTCAAAAAGTCCAAGAGGAACAGTCTGGTCAAGAATCTTCTAGTACCAGTGAGTTGATGGCCTGTGTTTGTTCCAACAAGAAACTATACTAAAACAAAGGGAAATGTTGCACAGGCAGTTCACAGTAGCTTGAGCATTAAAACCCTGCTTTACAAAGGAATGTACATGTAAGCGCATTTAAAAGCTTGCTCAAATAAACTGATGACAAATGGCTCTTGTTCATGCCTATTTACTTTAGCAATAACCTCAAATTTCTGCTTTAGGCAGTCTTAACTCCTATAAACTGTATATGTAAGAGGCCATTTCACTTACATGTGTATAAAAACCTCAAATCTTATCTCACTGCAGTCTGTTGAATGTGGACTGTGGGTACTACAGACACCCATGTCATGCATGAGAGATGGCTTGCTTCAGGTTTACTGTGCTTTTTCAAATTTGAGACCTTCATTTTCTTTTTTCCTTCTGTTTTGTTTGGTGGGGGAAATACGGAGCTCACACAGTCACAAAATCAGGTTCCGGTCATTGAGTTCACACTTTTTGTTTTTGTTTGTTCTCAGAGCAAGGAGGAGATAACTGAGCAGTTTTGTAAGATATCAAGACAGCGGTCACGCTTTGTGTCTCAAGGTAATACTTAACCCTTACACTCCTCAATCCTTCACCTGTTGGAGGACTGAGGGGTGTTAGGGTTAAAGAATTGTTTAATACTGCAGTTTGCTTCTTTTACGTACATGTAAGCTTGTAAAACATTTTTCCGGATTGAATTAATTTTGGGGAGGCTTCAAAATTCATTTGAAAAAAGAGTACTCAGTTTTTCATTAGCTATTTTGGGCATCGGTGGAAACAGCTAATTTAGGCTTGGAAGCTACTGGCTACATGGCAAACTTTTCAGTTACCTTTAAAGTTAAGATGAGATCATGAAAACTGAATAGGATAGACACTTACATGTAGGAACATCATACTTACAGTAACTACACTTTCTGAAGATGCCATTTTTGGAGGAACTATTTTCTTTGTCACTTTCCTAGAACCCCTGTTCCAGCTTTACCAGGAAGACGCCCGCAGCCGGGACTCCTACCTTCGCCTCATGAACATCTCCTCTCTGGAGGCTCTGACAAAGTTCCTGGAGAACCAGGAAGCCCTTAAGAAGGAGAAACGGGAGAGCCTGCCCATCCCAATCCCTTCTCAGCAGCCAGAGTATCGCGTCCTGATCCCTGATGAGGAGGTATACTGTTACCAATCGGCAGAACAGTGCAGATTAGAGGAAGCTGATAAAGATAGGTCCAAGTTGGAAGACGCTAATCGCTGTACCTCCCGATCACGGGGTGAGCTTGGTGAAGCTATCTACCAGTCGGCAGAGCCTGTTTATGAACCTCCTGGTGAGCTGTACTATGACACAGGCAACCTCTTGCAGAACAATACCATATATGAGCCAGGGAGCCTGGGAAGCTCAACAGGAGATGGGTCTGGTGGAAGCAGTTCAGATGTGGACATACCGAAGCCCTATGGACTGATGCAGCTCAAGAGTGGGGCCAGTGCAGTCCGACGATCCTTCTGGAGTGAGCTGCCAGAGGTCATTAATAGCGGATTGCTGGAGCAGATGACATCAGAGGAGAAGAGACTCCAAGAGGTGAAGTATTCAGAGACTTCCAAAGACATTACAGTTTCATGTAACTCTGTTATCCGTGACAATGTTGACGCAAGCAATGTGTCAAACTAAAGCTGATGAGTTACTTTGTATTGTTGTAAACATTTCACAAGAATAAACCATGCATTCTTGACATAGCTGACCTTGGACTTAGGTTACCTTTTTTTAGGAACACACTGTATACGCAAGGGAAGTTGCTTACCGACCAGTGCACAAGCAGTCCCAAATGGGTTAATACACACTTTAAATGTTACTTGCAGAGAAGAACATGCACGTCCTCAAGTGCTTTGCATACAGCAAGAATATCTTCAGCTAAATAATTGGGGGATTTAAAGCATATGTGTGTCCCGTTGGATTATGCAGGCGCTGTTTGAAGTCATCACCTCGGAAGCTTCCTACCTCCGCAGTCTCAATTTGGTTGTGGAACATTTTCTGGAAGCCATCACCCTACAGCCTCCAACAGGCTTACTAAACAAGGTCCAACATCATCGTCTGTTCTCCAACATCAAGGGTGTACGAGATGCCAGTGAGAGGTGAGTGCTAAAAAATTGAGATATTGAGCCTCTCTAAAACCACAGGCTTTTTTCCAGCAGTAATTTGCTTGTCCTGGAGGAAGAATTAGCCATAGGCAGGCAGTGTCCACAGGTTTGTATTTCAGCTGTAAGCAAACACTTGTCATGCAGTAGTCCTTGATTATAACTACCGATTGTTTACAACAGTTTTTTTTGTTACTACCAGGCATTGGTATTGAGACCTTGCTCCCTTGGTAGGATGCCCAATACTGAAAAAGTATTATTAACACTTGGAGGTTTTCAAAATTTTCCAAGGAAAACAATGTTTAACGAGGTTAAATAATTTTGAATATTTGTAGAGAGCAAAGGCTCATGTTTTTGCTTTGAGCCTTGTCACTTCAAAAGGATATTTAATAATTGGTTAGCAATAACCTGATGCAACTCTTAGCCAAACAGAAATGGACTTATTTATAGTTGTTTCACACCACCAATGTTTTTCTTATTTGGTATTGCTCTATTGTCAAAAGGTCACAAAGTAGTGTTGTCATACCTGTGTACATGTCTGTCACAGTCTTTGGCCTGTTCCTATTCCAACCGAGTTGAAGACTAAAATGTGGGAAGTAGCTAGATCTTGAGACACAATTTTATCTACATCTTGTAACATAATTTCATCTTATTTGTGCACATTGTTCATAAATGCACGTATGTATGTGTTTTTCAAAATTTGTGGCCTTGCTTGGTTAATGAACGAGCATAGAATATGAGAAAGTCTTTAAATTTCCAAGATGTGCACATGATTTAATGATTCTGGGCAAGGCCTGTTGTTTCCTCAGATCACATACAGTTACCATGTACACAAGGTTTGGGAGGATTTGGTTGAAGTGAGGAAGGTAGAGCCCAGCCACTGTTTACTTTACAAGGGCTTGATGTTCTATGAAGAGATGTACATTTTCATATTTGTCGCCAATATGGACAGAGAAGAATTGAAGACAGAGCTCTAAGTTGTGAATCAATCGTAACCATAGAATCAGTTTTCCAAGTAATTTAGAAGACATTTGTTGAAAATGTTAATTTTGGAGTGCCACTGGTATCGTCATTCTGTTTGTTGACTTGTTTCTTGCAGGTTATTGTTAGATCTTGAAGAACGACAGCAGGATAGCATCATCATCACTGATGTTTGTGATATCCTCCTGCAACACTTTGAAAAAGGTGGTTTCAACTGTTATATTGTGTACTGTGCCAATAACCAGTACCAGGTCAAGACTCTGGAGGAACTTAGGTAGGGATAGGTGCTAAAACTGTTGCTATGCCTCTGCTGTGTTGTATTTTTGTGATGCCAACTGAGAAGATCTTTCTTTGCAAAATCCATCCCATTGTAGTCACACAGATCAAGATATCAATGACAAAGAGCAAAGAAATGAGGGGAAAACGTATTTCGAAAATAAATCAGTGGGTTACTGTTTACAAATTTGTATATCGTGTTTCACAACCTTGTTGTTTTCAATATTGAAATTTTAAATGTTGGTATTCGAAAGTTAATACAGTTTGACCTCAAAAGAAGTTTATTTGTAGTTTTCCATTGCTACTTAACACCTTCACTTGTGGTCACTTTTCACAGTGTCCTTCAACGGTATGTTTTGTACACTCTTAAAAATGGGAAGAAAATGGTGGCCCCAAACAATGGGAGACTGATAATGGTGGTGATAATAATTATTTTTCCCTCCCTAACTACTTTGCAGGAAAAATCCATCATTTGTGGAAGTGTTGAAGCTCCTTGAGAGCAGTCCTGCATGCTGTAGTCTGGATCTCCAGTCATTCCTTATGCTGCCATTCCAAAGAATTACCAGACTGCCATTACTGATAGAGGTAAAAAGATGATTGTCATTTATGAGGTGCCCTTTATGACTTCATTAGTACAAAAATAATCAAATGAAAATAATATATGACGAAACTAATAGATGAAAGTGAAATAAATCTAAAAATAGAACAAATATTTATAAAGGACGAAAGAAGTATGTATACATGTAGGATGAACTAATACATAAAGTACGAAACCAGTCTATCTATAGGACAAAAGTGCATTTAAAAGACAAAAATGATTTATATAGGATGAAAACTAATAAAGACAAAACTCATATATAAACTGTATAAACGAAATTAATAAATGTAGAACGAAAATAATATGTAGGACAAAACCAATGTATATAGGATGAAACCAATATATATTGGACAACACTAATATAAGAAGAAATAAATATAATACAAAACTAATAAATAGGACGAAGCACCACCACTTTGACGCCAGACCGGTTGTGATATAGAGCAAAATGTAAGATATATAGAACAGAAATGTAAAATGTTTAGAACGAACACGTACAAAAGAGGAAGTGCCATCTACTGACCGGTCATGCCATGCGCATGCCATGCGCATGCCATGCCCGACACAGAAAGAGTTACATGGACAACACTTCATGCCCCTATACACAAACCTATATGAAACTTGTCTGAGACATGTCTTAGTAAATACTTAGGAATTACCTTGCTAACATTTACTTTTTGGGACATGTAATCACTTTATGACAGCCCTTGTAACATTTTAAGGGAAAATTAGTGTTGTCAGTAACTCTTATGGAACTCTTTCCCCCAACATTCTTGATGATACAGTGAACATTACAACACCACATTTGACTTGTTATAGAGATACACACTGTATGTCAAAACAAGTGGAGTTGTGATCCTGAACCATGGCTCAAGTCAAAACCCTGCTTTCCATGAATTAGTTGCTACTAATGTTATACCCACTGGCAATGGGCCGAGGCCGACTGCTACTAGTGCCAGTGTTACTAGCGTAATGCCTGACATTGGCAGCAGTGTCCCTGGCACTGGAGGCTGACTGTCAACAACGTGGTCAATCACAATCAGTATGACCAAAGCAGCAACTGGCAATGTTATATGTGATCTAACCTTAATGAGGGGCTTTCTCAATTGTTCTCTATGGTCCTAATATTTCGGAACAATTGAAAAAGCTCTGCATCATGGTAAGGAGTAACATCTGCGAACCGGTTGGTAGATGGTGCTTCGTTTTAACATTTTATGTTTTCATTCTATACATGTTACATTTCATCCTATATGTTTTACATTTGCTTTATATCACAACCGGTCTGGCATCGAGGTGGTTGTGCTTTTTCCCATTTATTAGTTTCCTTTTATATTTATTAGTTTCATTCTACATTTTTAATTTCGCTCTATATTTATTACTTTCACCCTAGTTTCATCCTATATATATATTAATTTCGCCCTGAATATTATTTTCATTCTATTTTTGTTAGTTTCATCATTTATATGTTAGTTTTTTTGGATATTTATTAGTTTTTGTCCTTTAAATGTACTTTTGTCCTATATATAGATTGGTTTTGTACTTTATGTATTAGTTTTCTCCATATGTATTTCTTCTGTCCTTTATATATTTGTTTCGTTTTAGATTTATTTCACTTTCGCCCGATATTTATTATTTTTGACTTATATATATATTATTTACGTGTTTTTTTTTTTACTTAAAAAGTCACAGTGGGTGCTTTCAAGCCTTTGCTGAGGGTGCTTTTGTTTGTCTTTCAGTGACACAATTTCTGTTTTGGATTCTTTACTTTCAACAGTAGTTTTATTATCATATTTATTTTCATTGCAACAATCACTGTTGTCATATTTACAGAAGTCCATATCAAGTCATTCTTTTATAGGCAGATATGAAGCTGAAGTTGATGATTCATAAATTCTTGCCACTTTTAGGCTATTCGTCAGCAGGCAAAGATTGACAGCCCTCTACATTCCACAGCCATAGATGCTGTAAAAGCATTGCGAAATGTGAGTATGGTACATTTTAATAGTACACAGAACTTCCACTGCTAAGAAATTACACTGAAAAGGTTATCACAGCAGTTTCCCTTTCTTAACCTCTTCTCACCGGGGCCCCTTTATCCATGTTGATTCTGCTAGGCCGGGTGATTATTAATTTTTTTCTGTTTTCAAAACTGTTTAAAAATTCATAACTTCATTTACTGGACGTTTACACCCATACAAATGACTCTCTGGTTGCTAACTCTAATCTGACAAACAACATCTATTGGTTTCCGAGTTTCTCAGCCAGGCCTGCCGCCATGTGAAAAGAGCCCAGATTGTGGAGTGTTACGTAATTTTCTTTAGTTCCCGAAACTGGCACAGACTTCTTTCATTAGGGGCCAGTTTAGCATGCAGCGGTATTGTATCGCTCATTACTGGAGCGCTGGAGTGCTTTTGTCCCCGGTGGTAATCCATACGCACTGAATGCCACAAACAGTGGTGTAATCTTTCAAAACAATGACGGATCTCCTCCACTATTGACAACTGACAAAATGTTGGAAATTCCCAGCAGCTTGGTCTTTTGTTCCGAGTACAGTCTTTTGTTACAGGGCCCAGCTCTTTTGTCCAATTTTGGGCTTCCCGGCTTCATGTATAGAGCCTATAAACCCGGTCCCCCAGCGTGAAGTGGTAAACCCAGCCCAACGAAATGAGGTTAATTACTCCCCAGGCTGAGGCTTGAAGTACAGGAACTGCTGATATTTGTACCCACTTCTTGTCCATTTTATCAGGATTGTAACACTGAGGGACATAGATAGCTGTGTAGCTTTACATTCTTTTGAATGTGTGTGACAAATTTACGTAACAGGAAGATGAATTACCACCTGTTTTACTGGATCATGCCATGTACTCATGCCAGATACAGTGGATCGCCGCTATAACCAACAATGCCAATTGTTCGGTACAGCGGTCGTTTGGTATGGCGAATTTAACTGCCAAATGTTTTGTTGCCATTTTGAGTAGCGCCCTCTCTTGTCTAACCAAAGTGCACCCTCTTGTGATACCTTGGTTCGCTATTTTTGTGATGTTTTGCCGTTGCATTTAAGTTTAAGGTTTCTAGAAATGTATCTGTTCATTGGTTTTTTTTTTTTTAACTTGAGTCAAGTTTATCCTAAAAGTCGTGAAACTACCGCTCAGGATCGATCTCTGATGCATGCTGTGGCGAATCTCGCATACCTGCGGTTTTCTTCGGCACCCCATCATGCGGAGTCGCAAAACCAATGTCTGTTCAATACCGTTGACAACTAGGGGCTTTCCCTTCTAATTCTTGGGGAAATAATGGCCACTTGCCACTTTCCAACATAAAAAACACCAACTGTTTTATCATGTTGATGTTCGGGAATTACAAACGGCAACTGAATAGTGTTCGGTAGGTTTTGTGCACAAATTATTAAGAGCCAAGGATGATGTTCGGTACAGTCGAATGTTCGGTATAGCGGCGTTCCACTGTATTATGTTTATGATTTGATTTTGGTACTGACAATTATGATGTGTAATATGCAAGATGAACATGAATAAAATTACTGAATGGTTTGGTCTCTAATGTTTTGTAAGGTTACCTACATACGTTTATAGAACTTGGCAATCATTGAGACTGTATGCCAGGCATTCAGGGTAATAATGTGTGAACTGTAGTGATCCAGTAGTTGAAACTGTATTGACATTTCTGTGCTCGGTTACAGATATGTTGGAAGATTAATCCATTTTTTTTCAAAACTTCTCTGTGTTTTGACTTTTTTCAGATGGCAGAAAAATGTAATGAGGAGGCTAAGAGAATGGAGATGATTGAAGAAGTAACACAGCTAGCCAATCAGCTGGACTTCAGGGAAGGAGTCAAGGTTTGATGCAATAGCAAATATTTGAAGACCAACCCCTGCAAACCCATTCAGTAACTAAATTAGTAAAAAAAAATGATCAGGCAACAATGGTGAATGGTCTCATTTCCATCCACAGAAAATGAACCTGTCCCAGACCACCTCTATTGTCAAGAGAGGGCACCTCCACATCATCAAGAAAGACAACAAGATACTCAATCGAGGCAAACTGATTGCAAAAGGCATTTACATCATTGTTTTCACAGACAAAGTAGCTATCTGCAAGCAGAGGATGAAGGGGTATGCCTGTCAGTCATTCCTTGAATCAGTGACTTCTTATCTTTTTCTAAAGTGCCAATGCTGGCATAAATTGTATCCGTGGTTGGCAGCACCTTTTTTTATTAAGTGCACATTTACTTCATCTGTGCTGAGGATGGAGATACATTCCTATTTAGTCTTATTATTTAGTGTTCTGAAAGCTGCATGATTGTAAAACTACTGTGTGAATTTCTCTTTTGTTTTTGTCTTGACGGCCAACCATAGGTTGCTAAAGCTTTGCAAAAACTACAGTTGTGGCAAAGCCAAACAAAATTCTTCATGCTCTGCATAAGGCTGTATCTTGGCTGTAAACTTGTGGCAGTCTATTGTGTGGTAATTCTTATCTGCAGAATGGTTGTACATGCATTCATTTGGCTTTGTAGACAGTAGAGTGTCTTGCTCAGAGAGGCAATGCAACAACTGTTAACATCTGCAAGGCAGTAGTCTTGCTTACAGGCTCAAGTATTTCCATCCACTAGCTGGGCTTGTTACGCTCTCAGAAATCAGTGTTGTATTCGAGTCCATCACAAGTCCCTGTAAGTCCATCACAAGTCATTCAGTCTTAAGCCAATTCACAAGCTATTCAAGTGAGCTGTGACAAAAGCATTCCTTTGTCACTGTTCACCCCGTTGCTAATGACTGGCTTCATGAAGGGACTTGTGATTGACTGAAATACAATACTCTCAGAAATGTCTAATTCAAGTGCAGCTCTTCTGGAGAGTGTTAAGTCCACAAACTTTTCTCAATGTTGTCATTTTGCTTTTCTTGTATTTTGACCGTTGCATTCAGTGAGCAGTTGAAATATGAAGTCTTTGACTGGTGCCCAAGGAATCTCGTCCAGGTGGACTCTGTAGTGGACCCACAGCAGCACCCTAAGCTGCCAGATGGCGTACCAAGCAACTGCAAGCATGTTTTCATCATTTCATTCCTACAGAACAACCAGAAGAAGGAGGTGGAGTTTGCTGTGGATGCCAACTCAGAGTGAGTACTTGTTACCTTAACATTGATCTACAAAAAAGCATTCAGGACTGTTATTTACACACTATATTGCCTGCAGGCCAGGTCGTGTCGGACAAACCTCTCATCAGTAAATCCTTATTACCAAATGGGCAATTCCAGACCATAGTGGACATGTGCATGGTATACTTGGGGTTACTGTAGCTTCCTTGTGGTTTGGCTGTGTTTGTTTCACACTGATCTGGAGCATGATCAGTGATTTGTCATTGGTTTACAGACACCAAAACTTGCCTAATGGATGGTGTGAACCAGCGTTAGGATCACTGATTGAGATCTAGATCCGCGTATTAAAAACAGCAGGCCCTATAGTACCCATGTAAAATTTGATCCTCAATAGCAGCATTCAGTTAAAATGTGGTGCTATTCAGTAGGGTATAAATTTGAGTTGTACCAAANTTTTTGATTAAGATTTAAGATTTGCTGTATTTGATTGTTTTTCAAGCGGTTAGTAGCCTCTGTATGTAACGTCCCTAACACTGGAATTGCCTCAATGTATTTGGTGTGCAGCGGTATTTAGTTGAAATCCTAGACAGTAACCAGGGCCTTATTGTGCAGATTAGCAGAAAACACTGCATAGAAAACTGATCACAAGAGATTTTGTTCATGCTAAAGAAAACAGTGATTAATGTCATTTGTGGGTACGTGCACATGTTTAAATGCTTATGCAGGGAGCATGTAAACCAGCCGCCTAGTACATGTACTGTAAGTGCAACACGGTCAAATCTTGCTTTGCGTCATCGTTCCAAGGATGCATACCTCAAAATAAAAAAATTCATCAAAATGGAAAATATAGTTGTATGTAGAAAAACTTGCTTTTGTGACTTAGCTTGCAAAAAATATTTGATAGTTTTGATCATTCTCAACAGCACTTTACTGAGCTGACATTTCTTGAGTCACATCAGAACGGTTCCCAGCCCATTTCTTGTATCTCAATGTACTGTAGCATCAGGAATGTGTAACTGTATTACATATTACATGAATTTTTGACTCAAGGAGAACTTGATTTGACTTTTCAAATTATTTGGTTAGCGAAAGGTTGGCCAGAGAAGCAGGCTGCCTTATGCTTCTTATACAGACACATTTGTGAGGCAGGCCACCGCACAACTTGAACAGGCCAGAGCCAGGAGGAGGTGCATTACAGACTGAAAAGCGCTATACCAAATGAGTACTGTACTGAACATTCTGTGCACCAGCGGTGTTGTACCTTAAATGCCTTAGCTGTCAAAATTTCCTGAGTTGAATTTGTTTGTATCCCCTCCACAAAAGCAGATATTGACAGATATTTCTGTGTTCAATTTCACAGGGCAGAGAGGGAACGATGGATGGATGCCATGCACCCTGCGAAGCGGACTGAGGATGGGGAGACCATTTATGAATCTTGGGGTTAGTCTAATGATGCAACCAGGTTACTGTACTGTGACTTCTGTGAAGGGATTGTACAGTACATTGCATTTGAAAGTTAACGTTGCGAAAAGGAATGGGAAAAATGTGAAAGGAATTCACATTTCAGATTTTGACCACAACTTTCCGCCCTGCGAATTCACAGTGAATCGGATGCAAAAGGGGCAAACGACATGCGAACACAGTTTAAAAATCATGCAAAAGTGGTGCGAATTTTTGCGAACAGGGTGTGAAACATTTGTGAAAACATTGAGAAAAAACAGTGTGCAAAAACAGTCTGAAAGTTTTGCGAAAGTGGTGCGAAAGGTTCCGAAAATTATGCAGAAACTTGCCAAAACGAGAAGCATGGTGCAGCGAAATGCTCCACACTGGCCCCAAGCGCACGGCTATTACGCAGTGAAGAGTCCATTACGCAGGCTGCTCTGCGCTTGGGGCAGGCCGGGGCCATCTCACCACGTGGAGTGTGGTGTGGTAGTCTAGCAGCGATACACGCACTCGGCCGAGCCATCCGGTCCATGCAGCTCGAACTCGAGCACGTGCTCACCACGGCAAGCCGTGCTCGCGTGGCGCACTTGTTTTCTTGGATTACCATAAATAAACACTCATCAATGTCGGAGAATAAATTTAAGAAAAGTTGTCTGGATTTTTAGTAATTAAACAGGGGTCCCCGAGTCATGAAGTCACGGAGCACATGAAATGTACTACAAACTTAACTTGCTCTGCTGTGGCGCCATGGGTTATTTGCCCACTTTTTATTTATTCTCGTGGTGTAGTTTGGCACACAAAATAATCAACATTGAGATACAAATGTCGTATTTTGCTATCGATAAAGAAAATCAACTGCTTAAATTGTACGTATATCGTCATGAAGCAAATTTGCTTTTTGCCGATTGTGATCGGCATGACATATTGGGTCTTGTTTTCACTTGGGTTTTCTGATGACATGTCACTTCCTGCAGTCGTATGGTTATTGGAAAAAGTCAGTGATTGGACTGTTCATGAATGGGTACGCAGTTCGCAGTCAGGATGTTGTGGCGGGTGGGGATGCAGTTCGTGTTTTGGCAATGCGGCATGGCGTGCAAGAGGTCCCATGGCAGTTTTTGAAGAAATTTGGTGGTGTTTTAATCAGTGTCACGAAAACATCAAGATAACCAGATACAAGGCATTTATTCCGAAATCAAGGTACATACATCTGCCAATACGTGTAAACGTAATTCACATACACGACAACATGTGGATACATGTACAGGTATCTGTACATGTGCACACATGCGATGCACATGTTGGGCGTCCATCCAAGTCGGTCACACGCTAGCCCGTGTGGTTAGGTCCCCTTGAGGGTGCTATAATGGGAATCTACTGTAAATCAGCGGTTAGTGTTCAGTGCTGGTCTCCGACCTCCACCATAGCCAGCTTTGATTTCACCCGTCGCATTTTTGTATTTTTGCCTGAGAAACATACTGCCTTGAAATTTTAATTCTGTCTTCCTCAAGCAATCATCTGAATATTCCTGAGGATTAAAGTTCTATTGCCTCAGACTAATTTTCCTCCACTTATTCCTCCACTCCATATTCAGAGATGTGCATGTTTGAAATCGTAGAGAACAAAAACTTCCTTATGTCTACATGTACATGCACAAATACTATTTAACGCCTTGATAACGGGAATTTTTTTCTGAAAGCCGACTCCGAGAATTCCAGCCTCGCTTGGCCACGAAGGCCACCTGCCAAACCGCAAATTCTCGGTTTGTGGCCCTGCGTGCTCTGCATGCTTTGAATTATGCAGTGAAAAGTCTAATTGTTCGGTGGCATGTGGCTCTACTCACGCTTCTACATGCCCATTGCCTCTTTTCAAAGTGGGGACTATTGTGAAGCTGTTGATTATGATGCAAATTTGGCCTTTTCATTTCTTTGCAACAAATAAAGGCCAATCACCATATATACAAGAGCCAGGGTCTGCCTTCTTTCACCGTGTTCGCTCGAGCGTGGCCGAGAAAAATAGCTGAAAAGTGGGCCAAGGATCTCAATTTTTACGGCAGCTCTTACTGTCATCCGTGGCGAAGGGGTTAATGAAAGCTTGCAAAATTATTTCCCCACTTCCAGAGAAAAACTGCAAAAATCTTTTCCCACTTGTGGGAAAAAGTGTGAAAATCATTTCCCACTTGCGGGAAAAGGTGTGAAAATATTTTCCCACTTTTGGCACACTTTTCCACAATTTGTGAAATGAAAAAGAATTCTCAAAGAAGAAAAAAGTGTGAAAAGATTTTCGCATTTTGGTGATTTTGGCATTTTGCAGGATGTGCTTGTAGATGTATGGCATAATGTCAATGCCAATACCATTCACTAAGCTGTGGTGTGTGTGCATGGG